TCCGTTTTCATTAGCCCAGAGCAGAGCAGTAGGATGTTCAACCCCATTTCATTTCATTTCATTTCAATTCCTTACCCAATATAAACAAAAGGTACAATATACATTTGTATTCTGTAGATATAGGTAATTTAATAAAACTTTGTACAATTTAAATATTTTAGACCGGGATCAAAATATTTTAGACCGGGTTCAAACTAATTTACATGTGTTTTAAAAAGTTATTTATTTTTAAAGATACATTATGTAAGATTTAGATAAAGAGCTGACCATTCTTGCTATAATAGTTCGAAAATAGATAATGTAAAATGAATAATTTGAAAATTTCATTCAAATTACCCTAATGCGAGCGAAGATATTGGCCTTTAAAGGTTTGACAAGAAGTGTGCAATAATTTCAACCACCGTACTGGTTGTTCGAAGCTAAGTCTCGCTCCTCCATTTTTAAATTAAATCAGAATATGGCTGAACCGTTCTAATCTATTTAATATCCGAGAAATCCTTGCCATCGAGAGTTGATTATGGCCTGGATCAGTTAATTAATATCTAATTAATAATTTAGAAAACATTTCAGGCTTAAAGAAAGACCTGCAATAGGCAGATTTAGCTCTTGCATAATGTATGTTTAAGAGGGCTAGAGTCGAACTAAGCAGCTAATCCCTTCCTGATGAATCGGGATACTAAATCCCATTCGGCATCGCCATATACGGCCGTAAAGTAATACTTGATGGATCTTCTTTTTCAATCAATACCCTATGGCATTTTTCCATATATTTGAAAGAAAATATTGGTGCTTACCAATTTTACAGATGTGATGGCATAGAATGGGTTAAACAGATTCCAAATATAATTTAGCTGATCCGTGACGTCATATATGCGACTGTATCTGGAACTTACTCGCGAACGTTATGGACCATCCGTAAATATAGTAACTACAAAATTATATTTGAAACATATTCTGCTTAAGGATGTCCTTTAAGACATGGGGCCGACAAATTTTATGGACAATCAAAATATTTTTATAGTGGAAAGCGGAGATATTGACAGAATTTATATTGACAGAATGTAAATATCATATAAATAAAAAAAAAATAAAGCTGCATTATGGGAGATTAGATAAAGAACTGGCAGTTCTCACTATAATAGTTAAAAACTAGGTAATGTAAAGGGAATTTCTGAAAATTTCAGTCAAATTGATCCACTCTGAACCGAGAATGTAGCGACTGAATTTTAGTCCTAGCCTCGATCATCATTACTAAAGTCGGAACGATAAAAACATAGTCTCGATTATCCATTTTGTTTTTAGTTTAATCATCAGTGGGCGTTGTGCAGCAGATCGGATTCAAATCGAGAGTTGATCATGGTCTGGATAAGTTAATTATCTTGGGCTAGCGATGGCATCCAGAGTTGATTATGGTCTGGATAAGTTAATTTTTTGATTAATGTCAAATTAATAATTTAGATAACACTTCAGGCCTAAAGAAAGACCGGCAATAGGCAGATTTAGCTCTTGTATAATGTATGTTTAAAATTGTTCCAAAATTGTCGTTGGCTACATGATACTTCTTTCAGTGGAGTTCAAAAGACTGTTATGAAACCACAGCGGGATTGAAAGATTGTCATTCCCCCTTATAAAAATATAAACGTGTTTATTATAATATATGAAGTTTATTGCTTTAATATACGAAGTTTATTCCAGTTTGTGTAATGTAATGAATTGATTTTGACATGCTATGTGTATCACACAACGTGGGAGATATGATCAATATTAATATAAATGGTTGTATATCATATTTTAGACAAGGCTAAGTTGTTCTAGACGAAATATCATCACGACTTTTGGTTCAAAACAATCTGCCCAGATCTGAGCATTGATTGTTCAGAAAATGTTTTAATCATTTATGTAAAAACTAACTAACACACACTCGAGGACCAAGAAGATTGGCCAAGTTTTGTTTTATTCGAAGGGTCTATGACGTCAGCGAGACCAGGTATGCTGTTGCTGTTATTTTTTCAAGGTTATCTCGATCCGAGTTTGGCTAACACGATACGCAAACACGGTAGCATTAAACTCGGAAACTAGCAATATGACCCATAATAAGACTAAAGCTACACTGCAAGGGAAAATTTTCTTTTGTCAAATCTGCTATCATATACCTCTGTAATGTAAACGATCGCGGGCGGTTTATGGGCTATATTCTATTTTCCAAATTTGAATTTTTGCACAAAATTGTAATGCTGATTTTTTTAACGACCAATCATACTATTTTGATATTAATCATACTAATCTTAGAAATTAATAAAAATGAAATATTTCAGTTAAAAATACATTATGTAAGAGCTAAATCTACTTATTCAAAGCCTTTATTTTGGCTTCAAAATTTATATATATTTTTATTTGGACTTTCACATGATAAGCCTATAATCAGCCCTCTAACCATAGTATGGCGAAGATTTAAACGGATAAAAACATGGTTTGCCATTTAATGATTTAATTAAAAAATGGCGAAGCGAGGCTAAGGCTCGAATAACAAGTACCGTTGTTACGATAATAAACAATAGGCCTATATGCCACATCTTGTCAAAACTTCAATCGGCGATAACTTTACCCAGAATCAAGTAATTTGAATGAAATTTTCAGTTTATTCATTTGGCATTATCTTTACTTGAACAATTATAGCAATAACGGTAACATTTTCTGCAGCGTCTATAGATTGTCACTGGCTAGCTCACGAGACACACTGGTCAATCAGTTTAATTGAATTTACACATGTATTTTGCGGATATCTGACGTTGGTCTTGAACTGAGTGAGCTATATTTATCAAAAAATGTGTATTCACCGTTTCTCAAAGTACGGTGGGCGTAAAATCCGAAACTGAAAACACAAATTCCAAAATTAGTCTCGATTATTTTGTCTCAAAAACGGTGTGGTTGTCACTAAAACATATTATACATAGCGTAGTAAATTGAAATCATCTTTTACATTGCCATAGATTCACTCCCCCCACCCATTTACATAATCGTTTTCATCGACTTACATTATTAGTATGTGATCTCCTAGCTTTGGCACTTTAAATGAACCTATTAACAACGATTGTTAGAAACGATTGTTAGAAATGAACAATATAAGTTCATGTGATGTATTGTAGAGCAATACAAGAAGAAAAAAAGCCCTATACTACAAAAACGGTGTCTAGAAAGGCAAGTTAAATGGCCAGACAATTTGGACTAAGATAAGCTGATAGTAGCTGTGTGAAATGGGTTGCTTGAAGCTTAATGTTAAAAAATTACGATAAAAGGTATCATTTTCCGTTTCCAGTCATGAATTACCCCCCCCCCACCCGTCCATTGAAATTCTTGAAGCAAGATCATCGCCCGAAGGTTTGAACAATATCGGTTATTCATACACAATACTAGGGTAATGGTACAAGGTACATCAACACAAACAATATGCAAGTCAAACAATTTCAAGTGAAAATATATTGTCTAGTTGACACCCTACAAACGAATAAAGCTAATAAACGGTTCAGTGTAAAGGTGTTTTGTACCTATTATCAACAAGTTCTAGTGGTTAAATGCATGCGGTATTGTGTATGAAGGGGTTTATTTATTGCCAACGGTGAACAAAGGGTGGTGACAATGTACGATTATGATATATAACGTATGATTTATAAAGTGATATTAAATAGATAACCACGGCGTTTCAATGAAGTAAAGGACAAAATATTATTGCCAAGGGTTTACTTTGAGGCTATTAAATTTCCGTTATATTTACTTTAACCATCACTAAATAACTTTGGAACTACTGACACCGGTCGAGCCATATTTGCTAATATTGTGGATTATCATCTTGTGGCAGCCATGGCGCTGAAATCTGTGTTATGTAGGAATTAGATATCTAAACCCGAGTCACGAAATGACAGCAACAGTGACAGGATTTCATGGAGCGAGAGCTGGTAATGGACCATTTTTTTCACCTAGATTCCGGGCTACCAAGAAATCAAATGCCGGGAAATACTATAGAAAGAAGAATTTAAATGATGGCATCGAGGTGGATGATTACCTCTATCGAGAAGATTCCATCCTGGAATCAGTCTTTGGAATCGAAGACATACTATCTTTTTCGGAATTCGGATTTGTGAAAGCCTACAAGGCACGACTGAGACGCAAAGGGCTGGATCCGAAACAGTTGTACTGTGTGAACAGACATATGGACACCCCGCGTACCTGTTTAACTTCACTACCAAAGTTAAAAAGAACTTTTCTCCTTCAGCCGAATTTTGACAAAATGAAAGGGGATACCCCAGAAGTGACTTCCCCGACTGAAAGTTATCTTCAGTTTAACATCAGAAACTACAAAGCAGACGATATACCAAAGAACGTTAATCCTTGTGGTAAAGACGCTCCAATAGAAACAAAGTTAGAAAGCAGATTACGTCAACTAGAAAATGATAATATCCCAGGATTTATAGTACGTAGAAGAAATCATGGCCGACCGCTAGGGAATATCACATCTTTACCATATTTAAATGAGTTATTAGAAAATACCCAAGGAGATGATAAACGACGACCTTCCATATTCTATAGAACAGAGCTTTAGTTTAAGTACTAGTTTAAATTAAGTATAACCGCGTAAATGCAAATGCATCACCGGATAACATACAACATTCCTTGGAAAATACTTCTAATCATTTATTAAATATATGACTTACATCTCTCTTAAACATTTAATTTTCTGTGAGAATATATGTAAAATCTTGAATTTTAGTCATTCTATCAGCTTCAACCGTATAACGTTATACTTCTTCTATAATCCCCAGTGAAGTGTTGAGAGCAAACCCATGTTTGATGTCAGATATCATGAGCAATTTACAATTCTGTGAAAACATAATTTTAGGCAAAATATTTATATGTATATTTATTTTTTACTTGTTTTTCATTCTAATGATGATATAGACAATAAAAAAAATATTCTTAAATCTAATATATTTATTGATAATATTGTTCCTGGGAAAACCCCATAAGGCGCAAGATAACGCATTACGTCTGGCGTGGACATTTGGAATATTGGACGGAACGGCACAGTTATGTTTAGCTTGTATTTTATTCTTTGTGTTCTTGGGGTGGCCTTTTGTGCTGATCCCCCAAAATGCTGCATGGATAAACAATTTCAAGCTACTCTTGGTGAGTCGGGGAGTTTTTACCGAGCTGGATCGGATGACTTCGAACCATTAGACGTAAGTTAAGCTATTAAAGTTTATGATTTATGCGCGAATTCTGGAAGAATTGTCTCGAGCTATAGATAAGATACTGAAGAACTAGGGTAGGTTAATGGGTGCTTTTGAAATTTCAAATTTAGTTCTAAGGCAACATTGGGTATTGTTCATTCCACATATATTTTGATCATGGGATTTGTTACACGTACACATATAGCCAGTAATTTGTCGAATTAAATATTCTTCATTGTTTTGCTTCTTATTTTAATACCACGAATTTAGTTTTTTGATGGAATGTAATATAGGTTCTTACTTAATAGGTTCTTTTTCCCTTAGGGTTATAATTTTCTAACCTATGATTTCTATGGACTACGTTTAGCGATAGAAAGCCACAGTGCTGATGGAAATGGTACAACTGAGACAGCTCGAATAATAGAAGATTATGTTTCGGTAAATTGTATTAAACTTTCATTAAATATAAACCCACCATAGAATGTTAATTTGAGTCTAACATGTTATAATTTATTTCGCAATGGCTTAAGCAGATGAGCTCAAAGTAGATTTGCAATTTCTTGGGTGTGGTTAGAACGTTTCAGTGAGGTTACAAGTTAACTGGCGTATAGAAACAGAAACCTCAAACTTGTATGAGGATTTTGGACATGGGCTTGGTAGAAACCAAAGTGTGTGCAAATGAGTTAACCAATGAAAAATGAGTAATCGAGGGAATCGAATTATAAACAATCTGGACTAGAATGCAATAAGAAAGTCTAGTACAGCTATACACTTTAAAGAAAGGACTAAGGGATAATATGTGATAGAAAAGGGGGATCGCGACTCCCTTGACGTTTAATTTACAGTGAATATACTGTTGTTTTAGAAAATTTCTTGACTACTAGTTTTGGGCGCTCATGTATACAATTTCATGTATATAATTTGAAGGCTTGTATATATCGTTATCAATAAAATTCAGATTACGTAGTTGCCAATTCTACGTCTACGCCCATTACTTTAATGTTTCGCCCTGCAGTAAATTGGAAACTACATGTATAATACACGCCACGATATATCAAAAGAAAGGTATAGCATTAGTTTTAGTATTTTAACAAATATTTTGATGTTTTAGAGAAAACAATTTTTTATTGCTAATGGAAGTTGTATCGTCAACGATTTAACATCAACTATAAGACAACCATGCATAACACGTAAGTAGATTCCTAATGTTGAGTTTATTTTGGGTTGGTCTTTAAAGAGCCACCCTAGATATATTTCAGTGAATCAATGCAGTTAATTCGGCGCTGAAGACTCCTAGAAATGATGAGGTTTAACGTCCTACTGTTCTGATCGGACCAGGGTAATGAAGACAGACATACGCGGTACAGTGTGCTATGAGGAGGAAAATTTTGCCTGACAATGGTGCTATGGCCTACTCTTATATTGAATTCCAACTGTCCTTTTATACGTTCACGTCAATATGTACACGGAACATCGATCGGTTTTCTCTTCCGATCTGAAGGACTATACGCCGCAACAGACTCTTAGAAGCGCCCGTTCTTAGTCATTTACAATCACCTAAATCACATTATTCTATGAAAAACAGTAATAATTCAACCGGAATGCCCATATCGCATTGCAAAACCAGCGTCTTAATATCAACCGATTTACACCTCCATATTAGGTTTACAGCCAAAGCCGTCATAAGCGCTTAGTTTCATTAATGTGGAGCTTAACTGGGCCACATTTCGCATATTTCAAATACTTAGCCTTCAAATTAACTTTCAAGCCGACCAAAAGAGCACGACTAGGAACGTGTGGGTTGGTAATGCGGATGCTAGTTCCAGATCAACGATATTAATGGTTCCAGGTTTTCCAAATGATTACAAAGTGATAAAGATGTAACCTCTGTATATATACCATTTTGGTAGTTTGTTGCGTTCTGACAATTAATGTTAGCTTTAATATTCTATTTTAGCTGAGTCTATATTTCAAGGCGAATTCAAATTGGGATTTGGCTTCACAGAAATCGATGTCCATGTATGGAAACATACCAACCCAAATGGTTCCAGCACTAAATTTACTGTTGCCAAGGATACCTGTGTACCCCTGATTGAAACATCATACGCCATTGACGACCAAGGCAGTAAGTAAAGAACTGTTGATACATTAAAAGATAATATCCAAAAACATAACCAACCCATCCACCAATCAATAAATTTGGATAAAAGAGAATTTCTCCAGTTCTTTTCATTCTCCGTAATATCTACATACAAAATAAAATAACATTAATTGACATTGACAATTTTTCTGCAATCCTCATTATATTCTTCAATTTCCTTTTAGCAAAAACCGAAACAGTGTACGTGTACCACAATTTTACGCCAGGATTGAAAAATGTGGATGTATTCCAAATTCCATCATATTGTTCCATTGGCGGTGGTCAGGTAATTTATGCAAATAATTGTTTAGATATCATACCACATTATAAATATACAATATACATGTATAGATAAAATGGTAGATAACTCTATATTAACTTGCCAAACAGAAACGTTTTCCCTGTGTTTAGTTCTATTTTAAAGAAAGGGTCTGTATTTTTATATTGCAGGTTGCTGGATTAATAGGGTAATGAATTACATGGAAAAAAACTTTATGAAGTTGTAAGAATTGTTAAATAATAAAATAATCAACAATCCGAAGTTGTAATGGTCTTAATTACATTAACACCTACTGGAGCATCAATTGTCTACCATCTTCATAATGTAAAGTTATTAACATACGTAAAATTATTGTACCCTGATATTTAAATATTTAAAATATATATAATATAATTTAGGCTTCACATATCAGCTACGGGGGTGGACAGCGCAAAGAATCCAAAGTGGGGTGACGGTGGCTTGTCGCCGGGACAATGTTTACACTTATTCTAAGGGGGGGGGGGGGGGCGGCCCTGACATATTATGCTGCGTCGAAACAAGTCACATTATACATTCTTGATAGCGTAGCGACGTAAAAGTGGGGTGGACAATGTGTACACATATTTTATTGGCGGGGGTGGGGTGGGGGTGTTTGACGGCCCTGACACGTTCTTCCAAATAGTCATGTTACACATTCTTTAGGTTTAGGATGCAATCGGCAAATAGACTGATACACAACTGTTCCACAGCTGATCCTACCTTGTCGCTAACATAACCGGAAGAAGGGTCAATAATGAAGTAGGCTGGGTTATGCTTGTCAATATTCTTTGTTGAACCAACTTTTGATGACAGGTTTTCTCTATGACTAATGCCTACCTAACCCGTGGATTGTGGCTGATTAGTACTCCAGCATATACGCCGTTAAGACTTGGTGCACCTTTATGGAATCTTTCTATACCGATATACTCCACTTAACACACACGTCGACATTAGTCTAATAATAAGTAGTGCAAATCAACAAAATGTTTAAATCAAATAAAGGGCAAATTTCATTTAGTGTGCATGTTTCTTTGGCAGACAAAATACACACTTTCCTTAGCAAAGGTAGTCACATCTATTTAAAAACACTGAAATAAAAGGGGGGTTGGCTGGCTGAATGGTTAGAGTGCGCGCGCTGTATCATAAAGTCTGTCATTGAGTCGACTGGCGTGGTTTCGAATCCCCGGTTGTACGTGGCAAGGAGTATGGTCGCCTGTCCAACCTCGTGGGTTTTCTCCGGGTCCTCCGGTTTCCTCCCACTGCTAAAGACCCCTACGCGCAAGCGAATTATGTAAATAAAATAAAACCATATGTTAGTCCCGAAATGACCTAGTTTGTGTCGACTGGACGTTAAACCCCATTCCTCTCTCTCTCTGAAATAAAAACAAGGCAGTTTTTTTCCTGTTATATCCATACTCCTCGCAGTGTTTCGTTTGATTAGAGCTAATCCTACTTAACACTGCTGAAAAGGATGCAAATTTCTGTTCCAAATTATGACTGGTCAAAAGTCCGATTCACAACCAATAGCTAACTGCGAAACAATATCATTACGCTTTAAACAGAGGTCCAAATTGGACCAAATATGTTTACATAACGTTACGTCATGACTAACGATTTTATTATGCCCAATTAACCAGTGCATAGCAGAATATTGCAGAAAAACTAATTGCGTGACAAACAAGGCTATCAACACGGAGACGAACAATACTTTCACCGTTTTTAATACCTTAAATCACTGTCCAAAGTTTTAGGGAAGAACCCAGCTTAAACGAAGGGCTGTCATGTTGCTGTACTTGGGATAGATTTGATTGAACGGGAAGAATAGACACACTCCCTCAAAAGCTCAAGTATCAGAAGCCGACCCAGCAATGACCAGAGAGGGATTTCTCAGGCCATTGCTTCAGGGATATGTGTTATACTTGGCTGCTGGGATATTAATAAATCTGTCGAACAAGAACCTGTTGATAAACCTATGCATGACTCCATCTACATCGAACCAGGGAAGCCTATTCGTAAATCCAATAAATACTGAAATGGGGTTTAACGTCCTACGGCTCTACACCATAATGTCATGCAATGTGCATTGAGGGTAATTTTGTCCGGACAGCGGCGCTACGGTCTACTCTTATTTCGTATTCCAAGGCTTCGTTTACGTGCACACCAACGTATACATGGGGCCTCGTTATTCCATCCATCCGAACAACTAGACTCTATTCCTAGCCAGCCCCCCCCCCCCACCGTCCTGCACGACTGACAAGGAGAATCCACGCTGGAAAATTCCGAGGTATACTTTCTCGGCCAACACCATCGACCCCCTGGTTAGAGACCTCAATATTCGATGACAGTACTTAAAAATATAAAATAAAGGGTTGGGAATTCCATATGTATCGTGAAGCACTAACACAATATTTTAATTCTATTCGTGTTTCAAAATGTTTTTGTAAATATAAATAACTAGGTCAATGTGAAAACTCAGTTATGATGGTTTTCCCGGTCTTCTTGTTTTAGATGCATGTCAATATTAATACCACCACGAAGCGCCAATATTACAATGAGCGAGAAATATAGTTGCGTCCCTGACAAATAAATAAGGGAGGAATTACCACAAGGGAAAAACCCAAAATTTGTCACTTCTTGAGACTTGCCTTTTGTGCGTGGGCGGTGCCATTTTAAATTCAAAATGAAATGATATAAAAGGGGGTTTAACATCCTACTTTTCTGCACCTAGTGGGCTAATTAGACTTCATACCATGTGCTATAAGGGACTTTTTGTACGGACCGCTGTGCTAAAGCCTACTCATATTTCGAATGTCTTTTACGAGCATGCGAGTATCCACACGGGACTTCGATTTTTTGTCCCATCCGAACGCCTAGACACGTCTTTCGTCCTGCACAACCAAAGAGTTCCCAAGAGTATACATTGCTGGACGCTTTGTAGAAAACAAGCAAACCTTCTAGAACACTTGAGCTGTAAAATAATATTGTGCATAATACATGACCATGACACATTATAGTGCTTTAAAGGACAATATTGGTTCAGTCATTTTTATCACATAAGTGATAGAACTGGTTAAACCCGTTCCAAATATAATGTTAACACAAAGATCATTGCTACGATAAATGCGTTATGAAGATTTCAAGAAAGGGAAGTAACGAACGCAAAAGGAAACACGATATAACTGACTGAAGTGTGACGAGTGATCAGATACACGGGCGAATTTCTGCTCACTAATAATTCCTTCGAAGACTAAAAGTTGTTATGTGAGGCTGTGAGAGGGTATCTGATAATTCAAAAACGTAATTAAATGTCACTAGATAAGGGAAAACGAGAAAACTAGTAATAATCCGTACATTTCCTGTTTTTTATTCATTCTATATTTAATAAAAACATGGTAATGCAAGGACTGTTCTATTTTTCTCGTTTTGACAGGATTTTTCATTACCCAGAGCTTTCATAAACGTTTGCCTCACGTGTAATGTCCGAATCCCTACCCTGGTCCACCATTATACAATTTAATGAATTTAGTATTATTTTTTTATGTAACGATATTGGACTTTTCAGCTTCAGTTTAATGAAAGTAAAATGTATTACTGTATTGTATGGTATGTTTTATGCACGTTTAATATATCAAAGTTAAAGATAAAACTTACAAAAAATAATTGATCTTATCACGCATATGTGTGAAAAGGGCAGCAGGCCAGCAGTCCGAAACTAAATAGTTTATGTTCACGTTTTCATTTCTGTTCATTATCTTTAGTGAGTCTTCTGATAATGTTGGCTTTGGGGTTTCTGCTACTTGTTGCCTATGCCGAATCGGCTGACCCAACTAAATGTTGTGTTGATAGAGAATTCGAAGCGTATCTTGATGAAGCAGGTAGCTATTTCACACCTCAAGATAAAGAATTTCACCCTATTAAGGTAAGAAAACGCTTTAAAATCGAGTGATCCATTGGAAACCCCAACTGGCACCCATCGTAGTTTGAAACGTATATTTAATCAAAACTGTGAATAAAAAATTCTGGGTTTGTAAGTTTAATAAAATATTTTGCAAACGTCATGGGGATTAAATTGTACATTTTGTACATTATATGGCTGCCATTGTGATCGAGGAGAAGTAATTTTGCCTTCATGGAAAAAGCTGGTAGCTGTTTTAAAATGGGATTTATTTTCCATACTTGGTAGATCTTACAACTACTCAATTTTATCTAATCAATCCCTAGGATCATCATAGACAACCGCCTGTGGTCGATGGCTTAAGGCAATTCTTATAAAACACCATTATTATATAAAACCATTCTTATGATTTATTCTCACGACTTCTATCCCAAGTGAACAGTATTATATCCCAACTTTTATTGTTATAATTTCAGGGATTCACAACTATCGCTTATGACTTTTATTCCAAAAGAATGAACCTTAGGGTTCACAACACATTAGAAAACGGAACCGTGATCAACAGTAATCTGCTATTTGATTATGCTAATGTAAGTTTTTGAAGACTCCCCTCTAGTTTCTTAGAATACAAATGTATAACTAGTACTTATTTCTTATACAGCTTGCACATCCACACTTCCTATTTTATAATGTATAATTGCTTTCGTATTGTGCAATATTTTCACCATTTAGTACTGTTTTATTCAGCAAATAGAGTATGCCATCTATAAAGGCATATGCACAGCTCATAAATACCATGTACCAATGAGACAGCCTTGTATACCAGGTAAATAGTTTATATAGTTAGGACTATATTATTTTTAAAAAAGTACACCAAACGTTTGTGGTAGTAGGGTTACTAGAAAGGGAATTTATATCCTACCTCGTGCAACAATCTTAATCATGGTTTGTACCTTAATTTCAAGTACATCAAAACGTTGTGGTTACTAAAAAGAGTATTTATATCATACCTCGTGAATAATGTCTATCACTACTTGTAGTTAAATGTAGCAAAGGTCTCGAGCTCAAATTCAAAAGTCGGGGCTACTGGGTAGAGTATAAACTTGGGGCTAAAGTATCACCGATTGAGTAACCAGTTACAAGAGAACAACTCATGTGAAAGTTGGCACCAAGTTAATCTCATCTTTGAGTAAATCAATCAGACATTTTATTATATCCTTTATATGACTTTCCCCAGCATCTCAATTTTAAAGATTAAATCATGAACGACCACAGAAAGTTAGCCAAATAGGTGACAGACATTTCTTTTAAAATTTATTCAGGGTGAATATCCAATAGATGCGATATGTCTGAATTATTTGCTTTATGTCTGCATTCGCGGTACAATTCTTGAAATTATCCATCCCTCCTGAAACTGTATTATTACTTTTATTTTATTTTCACTCTACAGCTAACGCCACATACGACGGTCCATTGACTATGGGCTATGGTTCAAACACTCTCAAACTTGAAACATGGAAGTACCCTATATCAGAACTCAACTCTGACGTAAAATTATCAATCTCTCAAGATGGATGTGTTCCTGTTGTTGAATCTATTTATATTAAAGGCAAAAATGGAGGTAAGGTAATATATCCGGTATATCAAGTGTTTGATCCATTTTCTATGTGACCCTTTTCAAAGTTCAGTATCCGCGTAGAGTTAAAAATGTCCATGGCTATGGGAAAGTATGATTACACAAATTAAAATTTGTACTATTCAGGCAACAGTAATTCATCTATGTAACCAATACCTGAAATCATAAAGGGAATTCCAGAGATTATTTAAAAAGTTGTGGGAGTAAAGAAATAGATAACAATAGTTGTCGAATGTGATGATAAACAGTACTTTATGTTGTGGCCGAGAACAGCATACATGTACGTGCTCACGGTGAGCGCACACTGCTGTAAGTCACAGCCTGTTGGTTTCTTAGATATTATTATGAATTCTATATAAATTTTGATATTTCGTATCCGGTAAATGTAAAGCTGTTTATTACATTTTATACTTTGCTTATTATATATTTTAGCGGACACCGATATAATATATATCATCAGTAACTTCACTCCTGGCATTAAAAACAGAGGCAGACTTGAAATACCTACGAAATGTATTGGAGTAGTACCAAAGGTATTTTATCTTAATTATGTTTAAAGTAACGTGATTTGCATTCGTCGGAAATATGTATATGTCAGGGCTTAATCCACACATGTACCCAGATTGATTATTTAACAGTTTTTTAATAGCACAAAATCATATCACCAACGCTTGTTTTCATCGGATCAGGTTGGTTCAGGGCAAGTAAAGATTTGGAGACAGTATTTTTTCATATAGAGCCGCATAGAAAGATAGAATTTTGTACAGAACAGAAGTTAACAATTAGTGGAGTAATATTCCTATTAGAGATTTAACTTTCACTATATTGTCTTTTGCAAAGGATTATAAAACGCTACAATCTCGCTTATCACCTTTAATGTTTTCAGAAAATTACACTAATTACCAATAAAATATGTTAATTAATTAACATTAGGTATTAAATTATCTGCTGCTGAAGACCACACATAAATAAGGATATAATTGCGTGCAATTCACATGAAATGTTCTATATAATTCATTTTTTGAATTTTGTTGATATATATTTTCAGGATACCCTCATTATTGGTTGATCAGAATAACGGTATAAACTAAGAACTTGTAATAAATAGATTTTGTTTATAGGTTTTGTTTTTGAGAGCTTTTATATATGCAAGGCATTCCTACAATAGATGAAATCCTTATGATAGAATTACTCTTATCTCACTCAAATCCGGACCCCAGCACTGGAATAATTCAAAGTCTTCAGGGATTGACTTAAAATGCTTAGTACATAAATTTGACATTGCACAAAAGAAATTCTACAAGCAAATGATAGAGTTGTTCACAAGTTTCTAATAATATTATAATCCCGGCAGTCAGTAGCCATTCTAATTCTATAAACACTTGTAATTTCAATGTAAGTTTACGATACTATTAGTTCAGGTTCAACCACAAATGATGCATCGTCTTTAAGTTGAGGGGAGCCACGGTGGTCCAGTGAGTAAGAGGTTGGTTCACTAACCTGGAGGTCCCGTGTTCAATCCCTGCGTTGACGGAAAAAGTTTATCGGAATTTTTCGACGTGGTCCCTCCTTGTCAGTGTTGTAGGACCGAGGGCCTGGCAAAAGACAACGTATAGTCGTTCGGATTGGACTAAAACTGAGGTCCTATGTACACATTAGTGTGCACTTTGAAGATCCCTTGCCAGTTGGAATTAGGTAAAAGAGTAGGCCGTAGCCCCGCTTTCTGGACAAAATTTCTCTCATAGCACACCAAATTTACCCTCTAACATGAATAGAAGAGAAGTTATGGTCAGTACACGGTATGATGGCTATCTTTAACGCCATCTTGAATTTCACACTTCTTTCCCATGATTCAGAGTAGTCACCCAAGGGCTTTGATCGAACGTGGGTCCTTAATATGATTCATGAGTCAAATTGAAGGGACATACCAATGCAAACAGGATCTCCTTCAGCTGATTGATTAGTGATTGAAATCCTTAAATCCTCGGATAAACACTCAACCTAAGTTTTTGAGATGGAATCGGTCATGCAGATTTTGGACGGAATACCAAAGATTTGAGAAGAAAACAGACGGATATTTTTGTGTTTGTCCACAGAGTAATCGGTACCTGGTGAAGGCTGAAAGAGGCAGTAATTGGGGATGATAATGATATGTTAATAGAGCAATTTGTAATTGAGAGAATTTCTGGAGTAAGTTCTTCCCAAGCGCGATGTGTAAGGAAATCGATTCTTTTTATGTGTAATTTAGTCGCACACTTTTAAATTACAGAGATAAGCACCAATCAAAATAATCTAGCTATAATTTACGTCGTAGGGCCTATATTTTTTCATATAAAGATAGTGTTAAATGCTGTCGTTGGCATAGTCGAATTAAATGACTCCCCTGATCGGACCAACAAAACTAAATATTAGAATTATTGCATATAGAAAGATTTTAAATGACTATAATTAAAAGCTCAAAGATATGAAAAGAAGCATATCCTAATATTTGAACCAACAATCAAAGATGAAAATAACACCCTAGACGTATCGATTGTTCGTACTTGGTTTTATTTTATTTATATGTGAATATTTTAAATGCATTTTAGGGCGCTGTTTTACAAGTATGTGTTTTTGTTTTTATTTTATCCAGTTACAAAATGCTATTTAAAGATTATTAATATGACTTTTTTGAAAACCACGTTTATGGTTTCAAGAATATTAGGCCGTTTTTGTAAAAAGGGAATCTCAAACGTTTTCTAGCTGATATTGATTTTGCTTTTGGATTGTTCATAATTCTTCAGGTTTGCATTGTTAGGATGAACGACTTAATCACTATAGGGTTGTATTATGCATCGACTGCCTTTATAATTAAATCGTTTAAAAGTTCATTCGACACTAACCAAGTAACTTCTGGACTGATTTATGTTTATGGGTGGTCAAGTGGTCTAAACCCTGCGCTGTAGAACATAAGGTCTGTCATCCATGCAAGTGTTTAGAGTTTAATACTCCGCTTGTCAGTGAGAGGATATTTTTCCTTCTGTGAGTACTTACATTTCTCGCACTTCCATAGATCCGGGTACGCAAGCAAATGATTGACATAAAGTACAGAATATGTTAATCCCGAAATAAGCTAGACTGTAGTGAGTAAATGTTTTAAACATAACTTTTCTCTATCAAGTAAGGTTCAACATTTAGAGTCTACTTTATTTTGTAACTTCTATACTATAATGCTTGGTGGTCATCACCTGAACCTGAGATGGTAATGCTATATTTTGTAAATAGACACATCTTTATATGTGCACAGTACCTAGAAATAAAATTTCAAATTTTCCCATTTTATAACATGAAAGTCAAAATAATGGAAATTCATTTTATTAAAAAAATACGTACCCCGACTTAATAGTCAATAAGTAACAATGGGCCATTAAAGATACATTATGGGAGATTCGGTAACGAGTTGGCAGTTCTCACTATAATAATTAAAAACTAGATAAAGTAAAGGTAATTTGCTGAAAATTTCATTCAAATTGATCCACTATGAACCGAGAACTTCCCCCCTAACCTCAGTCATCATTACTAAAGTCGGTACAATAAACAGCATAGTCTCGATTATCCAGTTAATCGTTAAATCGAGAAGGAAAGCTATGCAGTAAATCGGCTCACAATCCACTAAAGATCGCAGGCTAGCGCTGCCATCTAGAGTTGATTATGGCTTGGTTAATTAATGTCTAATTAATAATTTAGACAACATTTCAGGCCTAAAGAAAGACCTGCAATAGACAGATTTAGCTCTTGCATAATGTATGTTTAATTTAATTAACTTTCTTAAGCTACGCTCGTATCACTCATTGTCGTTGGATTTTACACATATACAACAGATTAACATACGTGCATACATTGTCATGTTTTCTGTTAGTTAGTTATATACTATGTAACCATAGACAATGATAACTTTAGACATTTAAAACTACAGTGTTACTATGTTAATATGTATGAAGTTCTGTTTTTATTCTATAAATACATGTAAATCTCAAACTACACTGTACTATCCAGGTTATCAAAAACAAAACCACCAATAACGTTAAAATTCATCATAGGTTCCGCCCTTTTTTCTTTCTTTTTTTTTACAAAAATTGTGACGTAATTCTGAAAGTGACGTCATTCTGGACAAAAGTACAAATCCCTGTATATACGGCTTTGCAAAAGTAGTACGTGTACAAGCCATTGAATACAACCATAGGTTATTCAATGACTGTATTCAATGATATTTGCTTGTATTTGCATGTAGTTATAGAATAAATATATATATACTATTCAAAAAAAGTAGGGGATATTTGATTTTGGGGGCATAATACTAAAATATGCAAATGACTACGAAAAAAGTCACTATAGAACCTAACAGAAGAAACATTTCCAGTTACATGTGACGCCCAAACGCAATAATAGCTACCGCATGGAATGCGGGTGATGCTTGGGATCATCATGGGGGTCCAACCCAAGATTTGCACGACTCTGACTTTGAATGTTACAGTCATTGTGGCATTGAATTCCAGGGTGGAAACATCAGTTTAATTGTTTTAGTGACCAGAAAACAAATTTTGATATGCGTCGGCTTACCCAAAATGAAAGGTTACGTGCCCTTGGCATGCTACAGATCGGCACAACACAGGCGGTTGTGGCGCGGACGATGAATGTTTCTCAGTCTGTCATAAGCAGGCTATGGTCCAGATACCGTGATACACAATCTGTACAGGACAGACCACGCTCGGGTCCACCAAGGGCGACAACTCAAGCCCAGGATCGATTTATCCGTACCTTGGCCTTGAGAAATCGTGTCATCACAGCAAATCAGATCAGCGCTCGTCTTCAAACAGACACTGGTGTGAGAGTGAGTGGCCATACGATTCGGAATCGACTGCATAGGGGTCACCTTCGCGCCCGACGTCCTCGCGTGATCCCTTGTTTGAGAGATCATCACATTCAGGCAAGACGTCGTTGGTGTAGGGATCGTCAACACTGGGATAATCGACGCTAGAGCAATGTGATGTTTTCAGATGAGTCAAGGTTCACTGTTGATTTTTTGGACAGACGTAGGAGGGTGTGGCGTCGTCGAAACGAGCGCTTCCAAGACGTTAACGTCATCAGACATGATCGATTTGGGGGTGGTTCTGTTATGGTGTGGGGAGGCATCACTGTTGCTGGAAGAACGGCTTTACATGTTGTTGCAGGGCGTGTTACAGGCCAGTACTACCGGGACAACATCTTGGCAGTCCATGTTGTGCCGTTCGCACGACGTCATGGCCGCCGTTTCATCTTCCAGGATGACAACGCAAGATGTCACAGGGCCAGGATCGTTACAGGTTACCTCCAACAACAGAACATCACCACATTACCTTGGCCAGCACTGAGTCCCGACCTCTCCCCCATCGAGCATGTCTGGGACATGCTTGGACAGAGGTTACGTCAACGTCAACAACGTCCTGCCAATGTCCAAGAACTTGCTGCTGCGTTGCAACAGGAATGGGACAATCTGGACCAAAATGACCTTAGACGTCTCATTAGGAGTATGCCACGTCGGATCAATGCTTGTTTGGCAAACAGAGGAGGATTTACCCGTTACTGACTTGGTTGTGATGCTGTGGTAACTTTGCTGTTTGACCCCGGGTATCATTTTACCCTTATAATGGTCAGTCTGTGCCTTACTTAGTCTAACGATCATTTGGAATAAATCGATGAATGTGAACTTCATTTCATTTTGTCATTTGTTTCTTCGTCAGTTTCATTAGGTGACTTTAATAACAGTTAAAAATCAAATATCCCCTACTTTTTTTGAATAATATATATGGTTGTGATGCTGTGGTAACTTTGCTGTTTGACCCCGGGTATCATTTTACCCTTATAATGGTCAGTCTGTGCCTTACTTAGTCTAACGATCATTTGGAATAAATCGATGAATGTGAACTTCATTTCATTTTGTCATTTGTTTCTTCGTCAGTTTCATTAGGTGACTTTAATAACAGTTAAAAATCAAATATCCCCTACTTTTTTTGAATAATATATATATATATATATATATATATATATATATATATATATATATCCAAATATAGGTAAAT